TTAAATTTTACCAATTTTCACCAATTCAACAATAATTTTACAATATTAATAATAATAAATTATATTATTACAGTATAAAGTGAACAATTAATTCGCTTCTTTACCAAAAAAAGTTTAATAAGTTACCAAAATTTATATTGTGTAGCATCGCTTGTATAAATTCGGATTCTGTTATAAAATAAATAAAATAGTTAGGTGTTTCTGTTTTTTTTCTTTGCTCTTTTGCCTTCTATAAATTATTTCACCCACTGGTTGGGATTTGTTTTTTTCGGTCCTTCTTTTTTTTTTCTTTCCCCTCTTTCAAACTGCGAATACCCTTTGCAGGTTGTGTCACTTTTGTGCTGGCACATAACTAAGATGACACGCATGTTATATAGCCTCTATGCTTTAATATTACTTGTTATTTTATGTGTTCAATATTTACCAGTATCCATTGCTACCTCTAAATTCCAACCTAAGAATTCAATATCAGAATCAAATTTATTAAGTTTAAATCGCCTCAAAAAGTGTGAATCATCTTGGTGGAGTAATCGAAAAAATATTCAAAAATGGTCTAATAGGAAAAATTGGTGTACAAGTGATTCAGAATATCATTCTTCACGGAAATCTAACAAGGAAATTTGGTCAAATTGGGAAAAATTTTCACAATGCAGATGCGAATCATTAAATTGGGATATAAAGAATCCCGCTGGAATTTTTGTCTGTTACCAAATTGCCTGGTTTAATAAATTTACCGGAAAATTTGTCGGGGAACTTTCAGTTTACAAATTAAGCTCTAAGAACAAGTGTAAAGATGAATCTTCACACGTTGCATTCAAATTTTCCGAATTTAACGTCAATATTCACAAAATGTCTCGTTTAAAGCATGATTCGTCCGGATTTTACCACGGAATTTCTCCTAGATTTTCTTGGAAAAAAGATGATATGACAATTCACAAATTTTATGTTCATGGTAAAATTTCAAAGAGTGAATTAATTAATAAGAAGATATTGATAGATATACTTAGCCCTTCAGAATATAAGGTTATAATTGGTTTAAAGGAGTACGAACTCAAGAAAAATCTTGATGTTGCAAATTTACTATTCTCAAATTATCTGCCGGATAAACCATTTTCTCATTTGGTGGACGACTGCTCATCTTATAATAATCGCCCTTCGGATGACCCCACTAATCCTAACGGTAAAAATAATTCGGATGACCCCACTAATCCTAACGGTAAAAATAATTCTGATGAAAACACTCCGACCAGAACAACTAACCCTGTTGAAACTCAAACACAAGTCCCAACCAGTGGTTCCAATTCTAACCCTGATATTGTAGCCCCTAATGTTACAACTATGCCTAATCCTTTATCTTCACCTATGCCATCTTCGAATGTTGCAGCCCCTGCTGATGCTTCACCTACGGGAGATGTTACGAATATAAATTCACCTAATTCTTCACCCAATTCTCCACCCAGTTCTTCACCTAATGCTTTACCTGATTCTTCACCTGATTCAACTGATTCTTCAACTGATTCTTCACCTGATGCTTTACCTGATTCTTCATCCAGTTCTTCACCAACATCATCTCCGGTAAATGCTGCAGATCAAGAATCCTCCTCGTCAACCCCTACCCCGTTGCCAGGGGCAACTTTAGGCGTACTTCCAATAGGTTTGGGTATATTTGGAGCGATAATTTTAATTGCCGTTATATTTGTTTTGTATTCAAGATATCAAAGTGGTAAATGGACAAAACAATATCGTCGGAGACAAGCGATACGAAGCGAAAACCTAGTTAATGCTCCTGGTTTTAATGTTGGTAATAATGCTACTTAAGTTTTAATAATAGTGTAAAAAAAATTTTTATGTGTCAAATAAAAAATTTTTGGGATAATTGTTCTTTAAATAAAACTTGGAATTTTAAATTCATTTCGGGTAGTCATTTTATGTATTTTGTTTTCAATTAATATCACTCTACGTTCTAATTTGAATAAACTTATAGACTACAAAATAAAAAATAATGTTTATTCAAATAAAATTACACGTCATTCTGGTTATATCAACATTTATATAACGACATCTGGTCATATCGACATTTTTAAATTTTGAATCCGACATCTGGATATATCGATTGTGTACTAACAAAGTTTGACTTTCTGTGGCACAATTTTCATAGTTCCATGGATTTTTTTGCAAAAATTTTATATTTCAATCAAACATGTGTGTTTATTGCGAAATCGTAAGTGTGCAAAAACTTAAAATATAGTGCATAAAAATTGTTATAGTCCCTATAAGAAATTTTATCATATGAGTGCTGCCAAGGGAAAAAGGTCGTTCGGACTTTCAATTATATTTTGTGTACAGTTAGCCGTCTATGGAAAATTTATTAGATTTTCCATAGTACACAAAATATAATTGAAAGTCCGAACGGCCTTTTTCCTTGGCAGCACTTGCAACATATGATCGACAAAATATGAATAATCTCTATGATTCAAGGTTATAATATGCAACACTTACGGAAAAACGTGGAGTATAAAACATGGATCGACTTTTTTTAAAGGGAGTGTGACAAAAGCGAGTGTGATTAAATATACTGTAATAATATAATTTATTATTATTAATATTGTAAAATTATTGTTGAATTGGTGAAAATTGGTAAAATTTAA